AACGCCGAACACCGTACGCCGACTTAGGTGATTTTGGTTCTGAGCAAGGACCAGGGATTTTAACAATAAAAAATTTATCAAAAATGTTTATTTTGATGCACAAAAATATTTTATGATTTTGTAAAATTATTTTGACTCTTTGAGAACCGAGACTTGAATTGATTGTCGGTTTTGATCAAAAGACCGACTCGACTAAGTCTTCAATTCTTGATCTTGTCCTTGAGTCTTTTGGGTCTTGTTCCTTGCCATTCTTCGCGCCTTGATTTATTCAACGAAACTCTTTATATCCACGACGGTTTGGCAATTATCAAAACCTGTCGGAAATGAACACGACTTTAGTTAAACGTGCAAAGTGTGTTCCAACAATTTCCCCCTTTTTGATAATGGCAAACAAGACGGGGATATGCATAGGGTTTTGTTCTTTTTGAAAAAAAATTCCCCCTTAATAAAATTCACCCTGAAAATATGCATAGCCCTTATCTTCCCCCTTTTGACATTAACAAAAAGATTTAATAACAAAAACCATAAAGATTTTTATTAATTATTTAAGGGAAATAGAGTGCTACCTAACGAAAGCATATTAAAAGATGATAAAATAAGGAAGAGGAGAAAAATAGAGCTAGAGCTCTTAGAAATCCGGGGAAAGATCATTGAGAAGCTGTTCTTCGTCAATGTCTTCGTCTTCCTCTTCATCACCACTGCCATCATCATCATCATCATCATCTTCTTCAGCTTCGTCTTCTTCTTCTTCTTCAACGTTCATCGCTTCTTCTCTTCCAACGTCATTAGTCCCACTTGGTTCACCACCTAGGTTTGGCGGAGGAACATAAGGGACCATTTGAGCGTAGGGGTAGTTGACAAAGTCAAAATACCCGTGAAGCTCACGGCTCAGAATATTGACGTTATGTGCCGTTTTGGAGACGTTGGTGTCTATCCGAGAAAGGGTGGTTGTCAAAGCCGCCATTTGCTCGGCGAGAGACAGATTGGTTGAAGCGGTGGAGTCGAGGCAGTAGCTCTCGGTTGGCGACGAGGACGAGGCTGCGGGAACGTAGCTTCATCGGTTCCCGGGTGGAAGGAGGACTTGTCAATCACCCAATGCTTCGTCCCTTTGCATTTTGGCCCGACGTCCGTCTTGATGTGGTACTCATCAAGGATTGCCATGACGAGAATAGCGTAGGGGAGCGACCGGTTGTCGGAGGTGGCGTGGAACATATGGATCATCACAAATTTACACCAATTGATATTGGCGTTGTGAATCATCGCATGGATCGTCTTCGTGTCTTATTGGGAGAGAGTGGTGTGGTTGAACTTCCTGGGCTTGAGGATCCGTGTCAACACATAGAAGATGAAACGATACACGGGACTCATGGAAGAAATCGTAGGTCGCCGCTGTTGAGGAGTGGGGACGAAGTTTCGGATGCCCACTTCCTCCAAGAGGGCGGTCTCGTTGAACCGTGCTCCTTCTTCTCTGACGTAGAGCCCGAGATCCTGTCCATCCCGACGAAGCCCGGTGAGGATTTGAATGTTTTCCTCATTCAAATAGATGTCCACCCCGTTGACGTTAGAAATCAACGCTCCGTCCTCATCCTTTTTCAAGTTCGAGTAGAAAGCTCGAACAAGAAAAGGGTGATAATGAGCCTTCTTGATGTAGAGGAGGTCTAGGAAGTTTCCACCTTCGAGAATAACCCGTGCCTCACGTGGAATAGAATCATGAATAAAGCGGGCGGTGGAGAACCGGGGAGGGAGAATTTCCCGGTGCTCAAACTTCTCCAAGAACCTCGCAGCCTCTTCGCGGTCGTTGAACCAAAGGAACGACCCGTCAAGGTATTTGTGCGCCGGTGGTGGTGGAGGAGCCGAGGAGGAGCCAACGTTCTTTCCGGTGCGGGAGCGCTTTCTTTGTCCGCCTGCCATTTGATCAAGAGAAAGAGAGAGCAAGGCAAATTTGCAAAAAAAATTGCAGGGATTGATGAAATATGAAGAGTATATTGAGAGAAGATGATTGGAATGAGTAAATATTGAAGGGATGTCACCAATTTATAGTGGAGGAGGCCTGAAGATCCGTTGGGATGGTCAAACAAGGTTTAAATGCTCCTCCAACGTCTCTGCAACGGTCAGATTTTTGAAAAATCGCCGTCGATAATCGATTTACACTCCCTGTAAATCGATTATCTGAGTCTTCAGATTCTCCGCCAAAGAAACTGCAGGCTACAATAGTCGATTTACATGTTTTAAAAAATCGATTGTTGGAGTTTGCGCCTGAGTTGCCTTAAACTTCTGCAGGCTCAAGTAATCGATTATCTTAAAGTCGATAATCGATTGTCATTTCCTTCAGCTTCTTGGTTCCAAACTTCTGCGGGCTGTGATAGTCGATTATCACAAGTCTGTAAATCGATTTACACCAAGTTTGGTAAAAAAAATCGATTTACTTTGTTCCCCCTGCCTTTGACACCTGAAAAATAAAATTTAAAAGACGAGCCCTGCAAAAAAGAATTAAAAATGTCTCCGACGTTCAAGTTAGTAAGGACCAAAAAAAATAACTAATGCACAACTTAGATCATCGTGGAGTCAAGGATTCCGAGTTCACTACGAATGCGGAAGAACGACTCTTTCTCTAAAGGTTTTGTGAAAATGTCGGCTAATTGGTTGTGTGTTTCAACGAACTCAATTTCGACATCACCTTTGAGAACATGATCTCTAATGAAATGATGCCTAATGTCAATATGTTTCGTCCTTGAGTGAAGAACCGGATTCTTCGTCAGGCTTATGGCACTAGTATTATCACATCGAAGAGGGACGTGATCGATACTAAGGCCAAAATCCACAAGTTGTTGCTTCATCCAAAGGATTTGAGCACAACAACTACCGGCGGCAACGTATTCCGCTTCGGTTGTGGATAACGCAACACTGACTTGCTTCTTACTAAACCATGAGACTAAAGAACTACCAAGCAAGTGACAAGTCCCACTCGTACTCTTACGGTCTAATCTACAACCGGCAAAGTCCGAGTCGGAATAGCCAAAAAGATGACAAGGAGACCCTTTGGGGTACCATAGTCCAACGTTCATTGTACCAGCAAGATATTTCATTATCCGTTTTACCACCGTTAAATGCGATTCTTTCGGACAGGATTGATATCTTGCACATAAACAAACGCTAAACATGA